GAGGAGGAGGATGGAAGTGGTGGTTGAGAAGAATTGTCAGAGTTAGTTGGCGGCGGCGGGGAGGAAGAGGCGGGCGGGGGGACGATGGTTGGTGCAGTTCGAGAGGCACAGTTGGTCCGAAGATGTCCAACAAGCCCGATTCGAGCCCGGAATGTCCGTTGACATCGAGGACACGTTGGAAGCGGTTGTGCGGCGGTGTTGCGTATTGGTCGAAGTTGTGATTTGCGGGCTTCGCGGTTTGCCTTGGCGGCAGCGATGCGATTGGCTTCGTAGATCACAGAGCCTGTCTTCACTGTCCTCCTCCAGGTCGGTAGATCGAGTGCGAGCTCCTCCCAGTTGGCTGTGTTGATTTGCAGGCGTTTGAGGTAGGACTTCAGGGTATCCTTGTAACGGCGAATCTGGCCTCCTTGGCGGCGAGAACCCATCGCGACGTCTCCGTAGAAGAGTCGTTTGGGTAGTCGCCGTCGTCCATGCGCAACATATGGCCACTCCAGCGCAACTGCACTTGTCTCAGCAAGGAGTAGATGCTGAGCATTCCCGTACGTTCTAGCACATCAGTGTCGGGGATGCGATCCTGCCAGTTCAGCCTCAGGATGCGACGGAGACAACTGAGGTGGAAGTGATTCAGTCGGCGTGCCTGCCTCGTGTACACCGTCCACGTCTCCGCTCCATACAGTAGCGTCGGCAGGATGACGACCTTGTACATCTTTAGCTTCGTGCTCAGTTGGAGACCATGACGATTCCAAACTGTGCTTTGGAGGCGACCGAAGGCTTGACTGGCTATCGAGATCCTGTTGGCGACTTCGTCGTCGATCTTCGTGTTCCGGGAGAGGGTACTGCCCAGGTACGGGAAGTTCTTCACCACTTTCAGTTGGGTCCCATTCAGGCTGATTTGCGGCGCGTTGGGAGGAGTGGCTGAGTTGGGTGACGGTTGATGCATCACCACCGTCTTCTGTGTGTTGATGACCAGTCCGAAGTTCTCGCGGGCGACGGGGAGTAGGTCCATGCTCCGTTGCATCTCCTCTTCCGAGGTGGTGTTCAGGGCGCAGTCGTCGGCGAAGAGGAGTTCGTGCACGGTGGTTGTGGATACGCGCGGTTGGAAGTGCATCCGCCGTTGATTCAGGAGATGACCGTCCGTCCTGTAGGCGATGCGGATGCCGGGGTGTTCGTCGCGGTAGGCGTCCATCAGCATGGCAGAGAACATAAGACTGAAGAGGGTAGGCGCCAGCACGCATCTCTGCTTCACTCCGTTGGTCACTGCGAATGCCTCTGAGACAGCTCCGTTGTCCGTGACTCGCGCCATCATACCGTCGTGAAGCTGACGCACCATCTGAGTGAATCGCTCCGGACAGCCGAATTTCTGCATGCTCTTCCACAGTCCTTCACGATTCACCGTATCGAAGGCTTTCGTCAGGTCCACAAACGTAGAGTACAGGTGTGTCCGCATCTCCTGACACCTCCTGAAGTTGACGGACGGCGAAGATCATGTCCGTGGTCCCACGATGACGACGGAAGCCGCGTTGACTTTCCGGTAGAAGGCCCTGTTCCAGGTGCTCATTGAGGCGGTTGAGAAGGATGCGAGCGAAGATCTTCCCGGCGATGTTCAGCAAGGAGATGCCGCGGTGATTGTCGCAGACTTGGCGGTTCCCTTTTCGCTTGCATAGATGCACGATGGTTGCATCAGTGAAATCTTGCGGGACTTCGCCTTGAGACCACATCTCCTGGAAGAGCGCAGTCAGGGGATCCATGAGTTGGGGACCTCTGTGCTTGTAGACCTCAGCAGGGATTGCGTCCGATCCGGGTGCTTTCCCGCTGGAGAGCTGCTGCACGGCCCTGATTGTTTCCTGGAGAAATGGCGGGAGGTCGAGGTCCACGTTGGTCTCCACTTGCGGCAGGCGGTCGATGGTGGCGTCGGAGATCACGGAGGGGCGGTTGAGGACGCCTCGGAAATGCTCGACTCATCGCTGTAGGATTTGCGTCTTCTGAGTCAGGAGAGTGCTGCCATCGGCGCTGAGGAGAGGAGCAGTGCCCTTCGTCGGCGGACCGTAGACAGCTTTGATCGCGGAGAAGAAGTTCTTCCATTCGTTGCGGTCCGCGTAGCCTTGGATCTCCTCAGCTTTACGAGCAGTCCAGGCGTCCTGCATCTCGCGCAGTCGCTGCTGGAGGTGGCAGCGACTACGGTAGAAAGCAGATTTGTTGTCCTCAGTGGGGTGATCTACGTAGGCTTTGCGTAGGCGGTTCTTCTCAACAAGCAGATTTCTGATGGCGGCGTCGTTGTCGTCGAACCAGACCTGGTGTTGGCGGGGAGCGCGACCGAGGACGCCGAGCGCCGTCGACTGGACCGTGTCTCGCAGTTGACACCAGCGGTTCTCCACGGAGGCGTTCTCGGCAGCGGCGGCGTCGTCGGCGGCGGCAGCAGCGATTGGAAGGTTGTCTAGCCGTTGAGCTAGCTCATTGCTGAAAAGGAGACGGTGAGCGGGAAAAGACAATAAGGCAACATTCAGCTTACCTGGGGGTCGCTTACCTTTTGGTCTCCTGCGAGACTGTAGGCGAATACGCATCTTCGAGATGACGAGGCGATGGTCGGTCCACCCATCAGCTCCCGCGATCGCCTTCGTCATCAGCACGTCCCGCTGATCTCGCCTCCGGACGAGGACATAGTCCAGCAGGTGCCATTGACTCGACCGAGGATGCCTCCAGGTGGCCTTTTCTCGCTCCGGCAGACAGAAGAACGTGTTCGTCAGGATGAGGCGGTGTTCTGCGCAGGTGCGAAACAGCCGCAGACCATTGTCGTTTGAGCCGTTGATACCGTGGGGTCCCAGCACTCCTCTCCAGGCAGTATGGTCTGTGCCGACGCGGGCGTTGAAGTCGCCAAGGACAATCAACTTGTCCGCCTTCGACACAGTCGCCAAGAGGGCGTGCAGGTCCTCGTAGAATTTGTCTCTTGCGACGGTGTCGGGGCTGCTTATCGGCGGAGCGTAGGCGCTGACGATGGTGGCGAATTCGCCCCCACCCCGGAGGAGAGGCAGACGGAGGCTCATCAGGCGATCGTTGATGCCCTGCGGCAAACAGGGCAGTCGTCCCACGATGTCGTTCCGGATGGCGAAGGCGACACCCGCGTCTCGTCGCTCTGCCTTGGCTCGACCACTCCAGAAGAAGGTATAACCGACACCCACCTCCTCCAGTTGGCCTTGTTCAGAGAATCGGGTCTCGCTGAGTGCGGCGATGTCCACCTTGTAGCGCGCCAGTTCTCGTGCCACTAGCGACGTCCTCCGTTCCGGTCGGTTGCTCCTCGGATTGTCTAAAAGGGAACGAACATTCCAGGCTGCCAGAGTGAGCGGGCTCACCCTTCGAGTCTGGCGATTGCGGCGGCGAATACTAGGAGTAGGAGAAGAAGAAGAATAGGCTGGAGGAGGAAGAGAGTGATTGTTGTTGTTGTTTCGGTTTTGGCTGTTTCGACCGTGTGTTTTTTGTCTGCGGCCACGGCCAGCCTACAGACAGCGTGGTTCCCAGCGATCTTTAGGACACCTTTTCTAGCCCCTTCCCCCTCGCGGGGGTAGGCAACGCATCCCTATATAGGGCTGCCCGGTTATCCCAGACGGCTGCCGGACTCCACTATTTGCCACGAATTTTTGTTAGTGAGAGAACGACCCGAATAAGCCTGGGGCCTTGGTGGTGATGGTGATGTTATGGAGTGAAGTAGGAGAGAGCATACACACTACCTAACGCTATGAGACTTAGAACTAGAGTGAACAAGCGGACACAGTCATCAGTCAGAGACAGAAGTGAAAGAGGGCACCATTCAAAGTCAAGCACTGTAACACCTAGCTATTAGCAGAGAGTGGCATAGACTGACGGACAGACAATCGCAGCAGGCATCAAGGGTTTCGTATAGCTATTAACAGACAGACTAGCATATAAAGGGCAGGCAGCAAGAGCAGCGTACGACACGGAACTTCAACAAACAAAAGGAAGAAACAAAGCAAATGCACTTACCTGAAGAAGAACTTACCTGGTGGCCTCCTGCGATGGTCCAGGCAGAGCCTCGTCTCGACGATGTCGACGCGAAGATCCATCCGGCCAGCGCAGACCACAGTACCGCGCGTGCAGGTGCACGCACGGATACCCTCACCTGGTTTAGCCCACCGGTCGAGACGGTTGCCCGGGGTGAGGCCGCTGAGCAGAGCCCAGCTACGTGGAGCCACAGGTGAGAGTTAGGTGTCAGCAAATGGACGCTAGGCGTAGTCTCACCTGCAAGCAAGTGAGCGACCACTACGATCATCACGTGGACCCACCGCTGACACCCCTACACCCCACAGACACACACATACACACGACGAAGACGACGACGACAATTCGATCGTCGATTTCAACTATGTTCACCGTGTGCCCCACAGCTGCAGCAGCAACGGTGGGAGCAGGGACGGTGACTTGCGCAGGGGTTTATAGTGCCAGTAGACTTGCGCTGCATCTACCTACACTCTCTCCTCCTCCTCCTCCTCCTCCTCCACCTGAGCCCGGTGTCAAGACAGAGTCAAGAAGACCGGAGATTAGAGAGGCCGCAGGTGGATGGCTCCGACGGATCCTCACCTCACCTCGTGAGGAATGCGCTGGCGCGCCCTGACGATGGATCCCTGTTGCCGATCTCACTCCCTCTTCCCTCGCCTATGCACCAGTCGACCGTCCGGTCCTGTTGGTGATGAAATTGAGCGCAGCGGTCGACAGAGGTAGAAAGCCCGTCTGTGTGTGTTCCATATATGACCTGAAGATCACGTCATCTATCAGCATGTACTTAAGAATGTGTTTTCCACTGGCATGACTTTGACATGTTATGACTCATGGCGTTGTGCGAATCGGATCATGTGCTGGCTGCCGGAATGAGGTTTGATTGTAAGGAGATGCGGGTTTTGGTTTGGAAGGGAGTTCACTTGTGGCCACAGGATGGGTATGTGTTGGCAGTGCAAAGGGCAATCATGGGGTCTGAGGTACGGTTCTGTAGAACGCTAGTGACCGAATTAGCTCCTGTGATAACCGAATGCCCTTGGGCAGTGTGGACAGAGGAAGCTGGTGTGTGAGGTGCACATTGGGTTCTCTAACCTTTTTGTGTGCAGAATACAACATCCTTCTCTTTCTCTTCGGAGCCATGCCGGAAGATCGTATTGGCCAGGGTCTCCCTATGGCTTTAGCTGTCACGAGATTGGTGACCCTAATGTGATAAGTACACGCAACCCTATGATCTGGAGTCCACTCCTGGAGTTTTTCCGGCGGAGGAGCTGGTACACTGCTGTGATTGTCTAAAGGAAAAAGGGCGGATGACCGAGGTTGCCGTTGACATCTTCTTGATGAAATCGGTTGATGGCTTTGTCACAGCTTATAGACGAGTGATTAAGGATGTCCAGAAATCGCGCAGCTCAGCGTTCCGATATCTGTGAACTCTTCGCTGGGTGCGGTGCTGCACCCTTACAAAGCAGTGGCGCAGTCCCCTTGACTGTTGGCCCAGGAATCGCTTCGTTAGCCGCAAAGAAATCCTTCATTTTTCCCCGGTCAGCATAGCCCTGGATCTCTGGAGTTTCACGAACCAGCTTGTCATTCTGCATCTATCTCAGCCTCTGCCGCACTAGTTGTCGGCATGGGAAGTATGCAGTCATAGTGGAGTTGTTGATGCGAGCATTAAGGTACCCAAGAGCAGTCAGTTTGCCCACCTGCTACACAGTCGCAAGGAGGGCGTGCAGGCCTTTGTTCTTCACGTCAATGGAATTTGTCATTGAGGGTCATAAAAGTTGACGGTGGTGATGAATGTATTCCATCGGAGTGGCAGCCTCGTTGTTATGGGATGGAAATGGACGCCCGATGGCAAGCATCACAGCCGTCTTCCGATATCATTCCTGATGACCAAGGCAACACCGCCGATCTGTTCTTGGACGTCCATTCCAAAAGAAGATGCAGCCGACACCCACCCACTCCAGTTGGTCCTGTTCAGGAGAGCATCGCGGGCCGTCAGAGCCGTCCTATTTTCCAGAACGTTTATCACTTGCGTGTCCGATAGTGAACGAACACTGGTGACTGCCATAGTGAGTAATGTCACTCTGACAGCTTCTAAGGAGGCACAGAGTAGATAATGTGAATGGTTGTCGTCTTTTGCAATGTTTCAGCCGTATATTTTTTGTCCATAGGCCATAACCATATTGTCGCGGTGTGTTTTACCAAAAATTCCTAGGGCGCCGTATCTAGCTTCGCCCCTCGCCCTAGAGGAGGCAAGCAGTGCTGCCCGTAAACATGACTGATGAATCACTTCAGGCGGCTGCCGAATTAGACTATAGGTCAAAACTTTCGTCTAGTGGAAAGATGACTCGCATTTACCTTGGTGCTCCTGTTCGTTGGAATTTTCGATGTAGGGGGAAGGAGGTCGGAGTTATTTCTCGGACCACCGGATGTGAGAAATAACAGTTCAACCGTCGATTTCTGCGACGTCCACCGCGTGCTCCATAGCAGGTTTAGAAAAGGAACGGTGACTTGCGCGTGAATTAGTTTAGAATAGTAGCAGACTTGCTCAGCGTCTGCCGCACTCCCTCCTCCCCAACCTCGGCCCTGTGCAAAGAAAAAGTCAAGGATATCGAAAGTGGAAGAGGATGCATGCGACTGACGCGGCATAAAAACCGTCTCTAGGCATATCACAACACCCCTTCTAGTCTCCAACGGTCAATGACCAGGATTTTGAACACAACAAGTGGAGAGAGGTGTGGGTCAGATCCTACAGAGTGAGAATACCATAGGGACCACATTTAAGAAGAGCTATTACAGCCTGACTCACAGTCCGCCACTCCGCACCAACCCAAACTAGACTAACTGCGATGTCCGAGCTATTCCGCCAGTCGGCAACCTTCAAAGCCACGGCGTTTAGCCCACCGTGATAGCTTCGAGCGCACCAGATTGTTTTTAGTAAGGAAAGTATGTTAATTCGTTGACCCCACTCTCTGTTTCCATTTGCCTTTGTAACTTTGCTGTAACGAGACGCCTTGTCACTCCAAGGGTTGTCATTCGGTAATATGGCCTACACGCCTATGCTCGAACTATCTTCCCTGCTAATTCCATTCTGTCAATGAGATTTTGGTTTTCATAGCACCGCTGATTTCCCAATTTTTCCCATTGTTCACATGGCTTGTGTTGAAGTGCTGGTAAGTGGGGAATCGATAGGGGTGGGGATGGGGGGAGGGTGGATGTACAAGATGCGTCGCATGTGTTGATTTTGCGGTGAATTCCGTTTCTGTGGATACGCATTTGACCGAATAGGCTCATGAGGTGTTTAAGTGTGCGTGGACAGTGAAGGCGGATATGCGGCGTTGTCAGTGGGATGGCTTCGCAAGTGACGGATCCGGTCTATGCGTGAGGTGAGTGTGCAATCGCAATGGGGACGGGTTATGATCGAGTCTCCGCCGCTGGAGGCGGTAATGGTGATGATGGACCGTCGGGGGGGGGGGGTTGTTCGATGGCGGGACTGGGGGTATTGGTGGTCACCGTCGTCTCCACGGAAGGACGACAGAAGGTGGCGGGGAACGGAGATGCTAAGCATCGATGCCGAGGACGATCATTGTAGTGGCCACAGTGGGGGTTGGAGCAGAGGCGGTAAGAGAGACAGCGGTTGGGGTTGTCGGTATGGTATCTTGAGTGTGGAGATGGCCGGCGAGGCCGATCTGCGCGCAATGTTCGTTAACAGCGCGGGCTTTGCTGGTGAGAAGCGCCGGAGACTACCAAGCTTTCCATTTGGGTATGGCAGCTGTGATCCGTTTGGCTTCATAAACGACTGCTCCATTCTTCACTGTTTTTCTTCAGCCAGTCGGTCCTGTGCGAGGCCTTCGCAAGTTTTTTGGGTTGGTCTGTAACTGCTTCAAGGAATTCTTCAAGAATTCCTTGTAACGACGGGTTTGATCACCTTATCAACGAGCACCTGTGGCGAAATCTCCACAGAAGAGTTGTTTTATGGGCGTTTTTGTCCATCCTCACAAGGTGAAAGCTTCATCACAGTTGCGATTGCGTCAGTATGGTATGGGCGCTGAGCATGTCAGTCCGTTCCAGAACTTCTGTGCCCGGGATCCTGTCCTGCAGTCTCAGACTTATTATTCGGCGAATACAACTGAGATGGAAGTGATTGAGTTTACATGCTTGTTTCTTGTAATGTTCATGGTTGTCAGCCTAGTGTCGTTGGTGGGAGAAGCACTGAATGCAGCGTTGTATGACGATTGATATATTACCGCGTTTTGCCTGTGTTGGTGGTCAGCAAGGAGTTTGGCGCAGCGGAGACGAAGACGTCCATGCTCTGTTGCAAGTCGGCTTCTGTCTCGGTGTTGAGTGTTCAGTCGTCGGCGAAAAGCAGGTCGTGAATTGTAGTCGCAGATGGCCGCGTTAAGGCGCCGACTGTTGTGAAGACCGCCGTTGGTCCTATAGGTGATGCGGACTTCAAGGCACTCATCAAAGTAGACGTCCATCAGATATAAAAAGGGGGTTAGGGCGAGAACGCGGTCCTGGTTCACTCCGTTAGTTACTGAAAATGCTTCTGAGACGATCCCGTTGTCCGTGACGGACGCCATAATTCCGTCGTGGGAGTGACGTACAGTGTGTGTGAATCGCCCACGATAGCCGAATTTCCACATGATTTTACACAGTTTATCGTGATTCACGGTGTTGAAGGCTTTCGTAAAGTCCATTAAGTTGGCGTAAAAGTGAACTGGTGGTTCCGCGGTGTCGTCGGAATCCAAAGTGATTTTCCCGCAGAAGTGCCAGTTCGAGATGGTCGTAGAGACGGCTGGTGAGGGTGCGAGAGAGGATCTTCTTGTGATGTTGAGCAGCGAGATTCATCTGTAGTTCTCACAGATTTGCGGATTCCCTTTCCATTTGTAGAGATGGACTATTAATAGAAGCGAACAGGCGAGTTCCAGGTAGGAGTTCAGAAAACGAAGCTGCGAGCACTGAAACAAGAAACTTATTGGCCTGACGTTTCGGATTCTCACTCGAATCCATCATCAGAGACATTCGCAGACCTTTATCTGCGAATGTCTCTGATGATGGATTCGAGTGAGAATCCGAATTGCCGGCTTGATAAATTTCCTGTTCCAGAAATCGCATCTTCGTCTTCTGAGGTGAACTATTGTCACATCCTTGAAGTCCGGAGGAACATGTCCTCGAAGCCACGTCTTCACGAATAGGGTTGTGATTTGATTCATCAGTTGGGGCTGCCATAATTATAGACTTCTGCCGGAATAGCGTCGGATCTCAGTGCCTTCCCGCTGGACCGTTAGTGCACGACTCGGACTGTTTCTGGTAGGTAAGGCGGCAGATCCAGGTCAGGTTTCTGTTTCGGCGAAAACATTCGGTCGATGGCGGCGTAGGGGATTGTAAATGGGCGGTTGGAGACACTTCCGAGGTGTTCGGCCTAACGCTTCAGTATCTGTAGTTTCTCCGTCAGAAGCATCGTTCCGTCAGAGCAGAGAAGTGGTGCAGTTCCTTTAGGTGGGGGCCGTAGATCTTCTTGAAGGATGCGAGTTCATTGTGGTCGACAAATCACTGGATTTTCTTTGCTTTGCGGGTCATTCTGGCGTTCTGCACTTTCCTCAGTGGGTGCTTTACAATAAGATGATAGCGGGATAAAGCCACCTTGTCTGCGACCCTCTGATGGTTCCTGTTAGGTTTGTGAAGCCGGTGTTTTTCAACGAAAAGTTGGCTGATGCCGGCATCATTGTCATAGAACCAGGCTTGATGTTTGCAACGTACGCCCCCGAGGACAGTTAAAGCAGCCGAAAGGGCAGTAGTCTGCAGTTGACAACATCGAGTCTGCACAGTGGTGTTGTTCTCCTGGACCAGCAGTTCTTCCAGGTGCTGCATCAATCGATTGTTGAAATGCAGGCGGTGAGAAAGCAAATCAAACAAAAGAGTATCCAACTTACCTGGTAGTCGCTTGCCCTGTGGCCTCCTGCGGGGCTATATACGTGGCGTCACCATGGAAATGAAGAAGCGCCGATCCGTCCAGTCGTCAGCTTCGGAGATGGCTAGGGTCATTAGCACACCATGTCGACCTCGCTTCTGGACGAGTACATAGCCCAGCAGCTGCCAGCACCAAGAATGGAAGTGCCCTGAGCTCGCTTCGTCCACACTGGGAAGCGAAAGAAGATGTTGTTCGGGATTAGATGGTGTTCTGCGCAGGTTCGCAGGAGAAAGAGGCGTTGTCGTTGCGGCTGTAAATTGAATGGAGACCCAGCATTCCCCTCCAGGCAGCGCAGTGTGTCCAGGAACGGGCATCAAATTCATCAAGGGCAACCGACTTGTCTGCCTTCCGCACGGTCCCCAGGAGGGCGTGTCGACCGTCACAGAAGTTAATCTTCTCACCATCGAAGCTGGCCATTGGGGGTGTAGATACTGACGACGGTGGCGAATTTGGCTCCCCGAAGAGGCAGACACAGTCTCATAAGGCGGTTGCTGACGCCTTGTTGCAGACAGAGCAGTCATCTCACGGTGTGGTTCCGGACAACAAAGACGATGCCTGCGTCATGTTGCTCTTTTTTTTGACCGTTGCTCCAGAAGAAGGTTTAGCCGGCATTCGAACCCTCCAAATGGCTTTATGTGGAAAAGCCAGTCTAACTCAAAGCAGCAATGTCAACCTTGTAGCTCTCCATTTCTTAGACGAATGGCGCCGTCATCTGCTTCGGCAGACTGCTTCTCGGATTGCCTAAAAGTAAAAGAACTTTCAAGGCCTCCAGGGTGAGCGGACTCACGTTAACAACGAGTATAGTGCGGAGGTGTTTGGGGACGTGAGTTTTTGCTTGTTTCATTGTCTAAGCCGTATGCTGTTCACCTGCGAGCCACGGTTTGCGTGCAGGGGACGTGATCCCAGTATTTTTGCGCACCTCACCCCTTTCCCCTGCGGGGAAGTAGGCAGTGCTGTCCTCAAATAGGCCGCTTATGCATCTCGGACACTGCTGAGCTTCATTAGGGGTCACGGTTTGATTTAGTCGGGGGGCGGGCCGAGTTAGCTTGGACCGTCTACAGGATTCCATGTCGTCCTCCCCGCACACTATTTTTAAGTGAAAGGGGTGGGGTGGGAATGAGGAGGAGAGAGAGGAAGGGGACTGGGGTGAAGGGAATGGAATAGTTGAGGGGAAGTAAGTGGTGGAAGGGAAAAGTTGAGAAGAAAGTGGACAAGGAGGAGAAGGAGGGGGACGGGAAAGGGAATAGAGTTACTTGGTTTGGAAACACTCACAGCACCGGGCACCCTCACTTAGTTTAGCCCGCCGGCTGAGCCGTTTACCGGGATGTGGTCGCTAGGCAAAAAATAACTTCGGGAAGCTACAGGTGAAATTTGGTGTCGGTTAATGGTTGTCAGACGTAGTCGCCACCTGCAAAGGACAAATGGTGTGACCTGCAACGAACCTTATTTGGAATATAAAACTGGGCACCCTTACACCCTATGTGAAAACACACAATGACCAATCTACTCTGGTTTAGCCTGACGTCGAGGACGGTTATGGAGTTTGGTTCACATTCTCAGCATGGTTTCGTGTAGACACAGATGAGAGTGAAGCAGAAGTATCCACCAGGTTCATCAGTGCGTTCAGCAGAGGCTACTAACGGGTTGTTTATAGGCACTTTATAGGTATTTACGCCACCGTAATCGTACCTCCCCTACAAAACTCTTTTGGCTTCACCCAAGCTATAAGCTCATGCAAGATAGTGATCACAGTTTATGTGCGTCTGGGTATACTTCCCAGTGCATCATCGTTAAACGTTCATTCAAACTCATCGCCGAACCTGGTATGATCGTACAACTTCAATATGAGTCCTCGAACACTGCACTCCATCTATCCCAGTGTCAGGGTGTACTTCCTTAAAGTATGACATTAAGATGGTCCCGAGGATTTGTTAGTAGGTCATGCGCACGGTGCTGACGGATAGATCGCGAGAAGTCGTGCACTTACTCAGGTTTCCCCACCAGTCCCAAGCATTTATCTGGCCATCGCTTTTCTGTCAATGTCTGCTTATTTCGTGCAAACACCGGCAAAGAAACTCGTTTTCTATGCGATGTAATTAGCCAGACAGGCATGTTTAACTTGACTATTAAGGTCGCAAAGCTCGAGGCACTATTGCAGTCGGTAATTGAGTATCCGCTCGAATTGTTGGCGGTGAGTGAAATGCGACTTGGCCGCTCCAATCGGCTTTAAAGTCCAATGGAAAGCATACGATTACTGAATGGAGCAGAGAAGCACGACCATTGTTACGGGAACTTTATTGGTCGGAGCTTTTGAAAACGAACAGGAGTTCGACACCAGAGACTGTTGGAGTGAAACAACAAGTTAACTTTTATACAGTTGTAACATGGGGGTTGGGGGGAGGGGTTACGTCTGTAAATAGGTCTGGTTCGTGCTACCTGGACCACAATGGTCCCCCGGTGTGGTGGCATCGTTTGTTCTTCGTTTGTGAGCTGCGTCGCCTAACTGCGCGGGCGTAGCGCGTGATAACACGCAAGCAAGGCAGTGTATATATTGGTGGAGTTGGTGTTCGACACCTACGCCACCGATATTTCCCGTCCAGTCTTGTTGCCTGCCCGCGCCAATGTCCACGTGTTGGCGAAGTCGAACTCATGACCTTCCTCTCGCGTGTGAGTGGCGACTTGGGACATTGGCCGCCTCTCCTAACGACCCGTTTGTGCTCGAATATTCGTCGGACACGAATATCCTCGTCTTTGTGGCCTTTACGTAGAAAGCTGCGTAACTGCCGGTTATTGTAAACTGATGTATTTAATCTTTTACAGGCAACAACACACATTACAACCCAGTCATGCATACATTTTGGTATATACTAGTGTCGTGGATGCTGTCTCTACTTGCGAGTTATAGTTTCTATTTGCATGCACTTGCTGATCATTTTCGCTTCACTTTCTTATTGTTATAGTTGTCGCCACTATGGGTTTTTATTCTCCGTATTTTTTGACTCTCAGTTTGCCGCGTAGCTTCTTCTGTGTGTTGGTGAACAAGTGTGTTTCCTGTCGTGATCATACACTTTTCCTGCTCCTCCCACCTTTAGGAAGTGCTCCCACTCCTTGTAACGTTAAACGTTACTGTTCTGCCCTGTTTTCCGCCTCGTATGCAATGTTTGGATCCATAGATTGCTGCGAACGACTCCTCCGCTTGGCACGACTTGAGTACTCTTGTAGATCTTCCACGTGCATGGATTCCAGGACTCAGAATTACGTTGCACCTGTACTTCTGTCGTATTCTCTATTTCGAATGTTGGGTGGATTCGAAACACCTTTAGTCACTAACTAGCAGAAATCTAGGAGAAAAACAATAAAACAAATGAATACCTATTTCGTATTTTCACGGAAGACCGGACGGCCAAAGGGCTCGTTTAACTGCACTGCTCAGCTGTTAGTTAATCTGGCGGCTACGGCTTTCGAGACGGGTTTCAGTAGGGTCGGGCTCAGCTTGTGAACACTACT